TATTGTTTTAGTATGGAGCTAGGAGATTACACATATATCTAGGATTTGGGTTTTTTGCTGTTGATAGGTCTTGGCACTTTTTAATATCACAGGTAAACCCAGGACTTTTCTGTCTAGGTAAAAATAGCTTTATCTACTTCGAATTATAAATATCTTCTCCTAGACAACAGAGAAGTTCTGTGAAAGATCAAAGAAATATTTCTTCATCTTCCCATAATACTAAGAAATTGAAAGTTGCATTAGCAATATATATACCGTATCATAAGAAAGTAGTTTATTCTAGGGACCAGGAACATTCTGGCTACATTCAGACTTAGATTTGACCTTTTCCTATGACATTTCACTTTGAGCACTTTGTGCAATTGATAAAGGAAAATCTCAGTCCAACTTTCTTGTATAAAAAAAACCCCATCTTATTTTCTTTGCCATTAAAAAAAAAAACAAAACAAACCCAAGAAAACACCAAAAAATCCAACCAAACCTTGTTCTATTGGGTGCAAGAAAGTTTTCTTGGTTGCTGTTTCATGTAGTGCTAGCTCTGTTGCACCCTGAAAGAGCCATACTAAGTAGACTAGTAGGGAACTAAGAACAAATGAGACTAATGGAAATACATGGTTTTGTTCTAAGTGCAGCTGAAATGCAACCCTGGGTGTTCCCCCATCATATGGCATAGCACTACAACAGCTTCACACCCATCTCCCAAGGAAAATTCAGACCATACTGTTATGTCTGTCATCTTTCCTGTTAACAGAGATGCAGTGTTCAAAACACAAAGCTGAAGTGACAATATAAAATATAACCTAAAAAAAAATGGGGGGGGGGGGGGGGGTGAGGAGAGAAAAAAAGAAAAACAGAAACCAAAGAAACTTTGGCCTCACTTGGCACCATTTTACACGAACTTAGCTGTGACAGTTTGCTTTAACATATAGCACCAAGTTTCTGCTATCAAAACCAATTTGTCAAGTCTGTCCTCTATCTGGGAAAAAGTGACAAGATTACAGATTTTTGATAGCTACTATTCCCAGCTAGATTTATTGTGTCATGCAAAAGTTATCAGCTACTATCAGGGGGGTGGAGCACCTCCCATAAGAAACTAGGCTGAGAAAGTTGGGGCTATTCACCCTAGAGAAGAGAAGCTGCATGGAGACCTCATAGCAGCCTTCCAGTATCTGAAGGGGGCCTACAAGGATGCTGGGGAGGAACTCTTCATTAGGGACTGCAGTGACAGGACAAGGGGTAATGAGTTAAAACTTAAACAGGGGAAGTTTAAATTGGATATAAGGAAGAAGTTCTTTACTGTAAGGGTGGTGAGGCACTGGAATAGGTTGCCCAGGGAGGTTGTGAATGTTCCATCTCTGGCAATGCTCAAGGCTGGGTTGGACAGAGCCTTCGGTGACATGATTTAGTGTGGGATGTCCTTGCCCATGGCAGGGAGTTGGAACAATGATGATCTTAAGGTCCTTTCCAACCCTAACTATTCTATGATTCTACTATGCTGCTGAATACTTGACACTACTTTCTTCTTTAATTCCTTTCAAATTGGATGTTTAGTATAGAAGCAAACAGCACATTTACTAATATTAATATAGTTTCCTAATCCACTGCTAACTGGTGACAAATTTCCATACTTCACCACATCATCCCACACATCATGATAGTAATTATGATGGTACTTATCTCTTGCTGCCCCGTAGTCATAGACAAAAGTCTATTTGGATGTAGAAACACATTAAAGGTCTTTCTTCATTGTTACTTGTATTTTTAATATGCTGCAATAACTGTTCCTAATACTTTGTTCTTTCATCTTTCCCTTTGCTGTTGGTGATGGACAAGCAAGACTTTGTCTTCCGTTTCTGACTTCACAATAAATGTGAAAGGGCCACATGTGAAGACAAACTTTCAACACCCTCATTTCCTCAGTATATTTAAGCTTTCTTGCATTTAACCAAAGAGTGATTTCAGAACCCAGGGAACCAGACAGAAAGCCTCTAGACTTCTGCTTTAAGGTAAAGCTCAGTATGTCAGAAGTTGAACACGGGCTCTGTAGCCCAGATTGTGTTTGTAGCCAAATTTGATTTTACTAATGTGAACACTTAGCATGAGAAAACAGTTAAAAGAAAGGTATAACAGACTTCAGCATGTAGAGACACACATTATTTTGACTTTGCTCCTGCTCCTGAAAGTGGTCCTGTTGGTCAGCTTTCATAAATTGTTCCTTTTTTTTTCCACCTTACCTATGTGATAGATCCCAGAACAGACTCCTCTTTAAAGGTGGAGCTGACTGTTAACTGGAGTGTACTAGCTCTGCACTAGACAGCATGCCATTTCTACGTAAACAGCAGCACATTCTGTTACTAGCTTGTGGCAGCATTCAGATTTAGAACAGACAGGGCAAAGACAAACAAGTAACAGTGCAGATTGACACAGATACTAAAGGTACTCTGAAAAAGTACTGATGGTCACCAGAATTTCCAACTTAAAAGCTAATACACTTATCAGAACTTTTAAAGCATTATAGGTATTTTCTGTTGATTAGGGCTGCGAATTTACATTTTCTACCTGAAACCTTCCTTCTCCTAGGAAGTATAGTATCTCTCAATCTGGATAAAAGGTGTCCAAGAGAAAAAAAATGACTGCTACAGCTGAACCCAGGACAAAAAGCAAATTGAGTTTCTTGGTTTTCATTCTGTGGAGACTGAGATTTTATCCACATACACAAAGCTCCAGTATCAGAAGGCTGCTTCGTAAAAGTTATTAATGTAATTACACAATTTTATCCATAATACTTTTGTTATCAATCTTGCATTTAATCTTTCTGTATACAAGTACAAGCATTTCAGAATGCAAAAGCCTTCCTGTGGATCATTACAAACCAAGGGATGCATAACGCCACCTTGTGACAGAACGTAAGCAATGCACCGAACATCCAGTGATTCCACGCAGTCATCTTCAAACTGCCATCTACAGATCATTAGGAGTATAGCCTAGTTCCAAAATCCACGAAGCAGGCTTAAGGAAAGCAGGTTCACATATACATTATGTAAAAGTCTTCACATCTGAAAGTAATAAGAAGGTCTGTTTTATTTCTATGGCAAAATATGACCAAGTTCATAAGTGAAGGAGGTACTAAGGAGCATTTGTTTTCTAAGAATATCTATACTCTAGATACAAACACCAACAATGATATCTGACAGGTGCATGACTTATGTTAAAGTCTGTTATGGGTGTACCTGGAAAATATATCTAAGGCTGTAAGAGTCACTTTTAAACCTCTGGCATGGCTTTCGCCTTTTGAGGAAAGGGTTTCTTAAAAAATGCTAACGCACTATTTAAAGTGGCAACAGTTCTTTAGAACTGCTGCTGCTTTAATAAGCAATTCATGTGAAGCAGATTTGTTTTTTTTTTTTTCCTAGAAAATATGCCTACAAATTTTTAATAGCAGCAGGTTTTAATTTATCAAAAACTGCTATCTATTAGCAACAGAACATATACAAATAGCTCTGTTTATACAAATAAAATTAGGTTTTGAATAATCACAAAGTAACATTAACTGAGCAACATTTTTCTCCACATCGATATTCGAAGTTAGTCCAATGATTTGGATATAAACCCCTGTATACTATTCAGTCAAGCACCATAGCAGACAGTGCATTAAGATCTCTCATGAATGGATGATCAGTTAGTATTTGATCAATCTTCTGTCTTTGCTCATGATCAGGAAAAATTTTTATCAGGGCTTCTCTTAGGCGTGCTGTTTCTGAGTCAGATCTCTGTGGTGGAATGGCTAAGCAGGCCTCTGTGTTTGTTTCCAGTGGAAGCAGTGCTGATGCATGATCACCATGTACTCTGTTTTTAGGTTGTTGACTGCTACTGGTTGGTCTGGGGACGGGTGTGAAGAAAGGCGTCTCAGAAGAATATTGTCTACTGCTCTGGAAAACCCTTGGTGCTGACTGGAAATCTCTATGGAACAAAACAAAAATTCTGATTAAGTAGATGTTAGCTGTCTCTGTAAAAACACAGACAAGAAAAATTGAGTATAACCCCTCTACTTCAGTGCTGCTCAGCTAGTTATGGATTGGAATCAAGTAATAAGTATTTTTTCAAAGTGAAACAAAACAGTAGGTATAACAGTTTTCAATTTGAATCTGGCATGACTAAATAACATTAACATTATCTCAGTCTAGTTACAATAAATGCAAGTACTTGACAGAAAACAGCAACAGTCAAAGCTTATTTTATGGAAGAACCAACACCAGTGTTATTGAACCAAATGGATAAAAAGACACATTGAACACACACACGATTCAGAGCATGTGAAAATACTGACAGAGCAAAGAGACTTCCAGATGCTCTGTAAGACTATTCCTCATCTACTTTTACTCGTGACTGAGCTGCGCTCACTTTTAGACCAAGGTGTTGTTTCCCCTGGAATGAGATCCTAAATGGGGCAATGAGGTTTTTCAGCAGTGTCAAGATCTGAATATTTTTCCTTAATTATTGAAATTTCATGTCAGACTTTGAAAAGCTGTTGCTACTCTGCTAGCACTACAGAATTTAGGGCCAAGTCTACTTCAGTTGCCACCAGGTAATGAAGAAAACAAAGAAACGAACTCATGTTACAGTCTAGTTTCCTACCAGCAAGAGAAACAGTATCTAAATTAGAAACCTCTATCTTAAAAGCATTTAGATTAGGACATCTCTCATTACTCAATATGGCAAGGCTCTTTTAATTGCTGAAGATCTTTCTAGTTTCTGCTTTTACTCCTGGTGCCATTTATGCTTTCTGCATTATTTAATTCAAGTAGAAAAGTCTCAGGTAAGGAACAAAATTAACTCTTTACACTGGCATCTTTCCTCTGTCAAAACCATCAATATAAAAAAAACCCACCACTCCAAAATCAAAGCCTACTTCCAGTTCCAAGTTTACTGATAGGAATCTAAGCTCTTCTACAGTCTTCTCAGAAGAGTCTCCTTCCATTTCTACAGTGAGCACTGTACTGCTTTCACATTTTTCAGACACAGCACTGTGTTTTGGGCAGCTAAAACACAATGTTCCACATGACATCTTCTAAGGACTTTATATTACAGCCCTTCTATTCAAAAAAAATATATTATATTTAAATATTATTTGTAATTATGCATAATGTACTGTCCTGGGTTCAGCCGTAGCAGTCATTTTTCTCCTTCTTAGTAGCTGCAGCAGTGCTGTGTTTTGACTTTCGGCCTGATGTTTTGGTTTGGCCAAGGACTTTGTGAGCCTCATGCTCTGCCAGGGAGGAGGGGAAGCCGGGAGGAAGCAGAGACAGGACACCCGACCCAAGCTAGCCGAAGAGGTATTCCATACCACAGCACATCGTGCCCAGGATGTAACTGGGAGTTAGCCAGAAGGGCTGGGACTGCAGGGTTGGAGGAGGTATGGGTCAGAGCTTGGTCGGGCTGGGGAAGCGAGTTATCGGTTGGCTGGTGGTGAGGTGCTGTATTCGCTTCCCTTGTTATTTCCTTTATCATTGTTATTATTGGTGGTAGCAGTAGTGATTTGTGTTATACCTTAGTTAGTAAACTGTTCTTATCTCAACCAGTGGGAGTTGCATTCTTTTTGACTCTCCGTCCCTCTGGGAGTAGGGGGAGGGCAAGAAGGGGGGGGAGTGAGTGAACGAGCTGTCTGGCTAGGGTTTAAACCACAACATGTACTTACATATGTACTTACAATAAGTGTTATATTATTTTCTTAGCATTTCCTACTGGAGTTCTAGAACTACACTAGATTTTTCATGACAACATTAAACACAGTTATTTTCAGATCAACCTGTGAACTTCTGGTATATACTTCTCACTTTCCTCAGTTGTTTCCATTAGCTGAGATAAAGATTTACACATACAATTAGTTAAGTATAACTTGTCTTTTTTATTACTGATTTTTAATTACCTCAGTTGTTTCTAAAAGATCGCTGAATACTCCTCACTACCATTAGCATTTATATACTTAAAGTGGTGAAAGAAAAGTAAAGAGCAGCTCATTTTCTCACACAAAAGAGCAAAGCCATTCCCACATCTTGATGGCTAATATAAAGCAAATTCATGCTTGGAATATATGAATATTTTAAATGTATAATAATCTTACAGGAACTATATATTTATTAATATTTAAAAATATTATTTAAAAAGCATTTAATAACAATGCCCTTCAAAAATTGTTTTATTAACAGCACAATTTCATGTCTCAAGTGAGAAGAGAAATGCCTCTCTCATGACTGAGTGTAGAGTTTCTATTGTACCACCTATTGTCCCACTATGAATAAGTGATAAACCAAGGTGTTTTAAATAACATCACCATAAGTAACAGGATACAAGGCTACCACCACACCCAAACCACTCCAGCTTTGTGCTATGTTAACATAGTTTGGACCACCTTTGAATGAAAGCCATCACAATTGAATCTCAGAGGAAGTTATTGTTTTACTTATCTTAGCTCTGAGAGAGATCTTGATTAGATGCAAATGTCACCAGCAGTTTCTGAACAGGCTTAAGAAACAGAAAAATCATGGTTTTGTTAAAGCTACTACAACCTACAGTATTCTTGCCTAATTTCACTATATATTTACTAATACAGATCTGAAGAGGTGTTCAAGTGACTCAGGAAAACAGTTTATTCCAAATGTGAAATTATAACTGCATCAAAGAAAAGTAAAAGTAGTGCTTATACCTAGAAAAGTCTTCATTTTGAAGGAAGTCATCTAATCTAGGTCCATTTCTTCCCAAAGGATCATCAGGAACCATAAATATGTCACCAGCAAAAGTGTACTGGAGCAGCCTGCAAGAGATTTCTTTCAATGTTATTTAATAACAATGTATTACATCTTTATTACCTTCACCTTTGTAGCACAGGATAAGTTGCCTTATAGCAGATACACTATACCATATCAGGAGTCACGGAAGCTTAACTAGTAATCCATTTTAGATACAACCAGTATTTACTGTCAATTTAATTGGAGCTTGGGAGCTTTTGTGATCTGTTCCCATGGCACTGCAAAAAACTAAGCTTTGCTTTTTTTTATTTTATTTTTTTTTTTTTCCCCTTGACAGCAAGAGTTGAATGACTGCAACTTTTTATCACAAAACCAGAATGGAATTTTCTTGGCAATTAGAGAAACTCTTCTGGTTGTTCAAACTTGCCTTACTTGTAAGGGCTTTCAACCATGTAGCTAAAAAGCATATGTTATTTGAAAGCCACAAAACTAGCAAACACAGCATTAGCTGTTTACAGATAAGACACAAGGAAGTTCTTTTTCTGGAATCATCTTGGGAACTCTGCATTGAAGAAAACCAGTTCAACTAAAATTTGTTTTCAAGGAGAAAATTTGGTATAGTGGAATTTTCCCAGAAGTAAAACTAACAGGAGATGTTAACACAAGCTCTTAAAAAAAAAAAAAAAAAAAAAAAAAAATCACAGATCCAGAATGATATGCTAACAATTATTGCTAAAGCTCTGTAGAACAAAGCCTGACTTGGGCAGAACTCACTCGATAAATCATGCAAATATCTACATGATTAGTCAACATGAATTCCACATTCTCCCAGCTATACTGTGAGAACCCAAGGCAGGTTTTATTTATTTCATTTGACCTATACACATCCCACTCACTGCAGCAGATGTATCCTCAGAAAATGTCATGGAGACTGAGGGATTAGTGGGCAACAGAAGGTCATACCTTAATAATAATAAAATGACCTTATTTAACTGGAGGAGGAAAAAGCAAAACAACCAAGCAAACAAAAAAAAAAAGAAACACTTGAACAGGAGAAACTAATTGACAGAGAATCCACAAGCTCAAGCAGGGATAATGTGATAGCTGATTGAATTCATCTAAACCAAAAGGACACTCAACAATTGCAGAGAAATGGCTACAGGAATATTGCAAGAGTTCATTATTTTCTTTAGCTATGCCAATTTGTTGTACTACAGTAATGAATGATTGATTCTAAGACCTTAAAAGTGGTGCTGTACGTGAGCATCAGATATCATGTCTCCTTCAAGAAATGATATCTAAAACAAGAAAGCCTATGAGAATAGACTGCAAAGCATCTACTCTAACAGGATTTAACACTGAATTTCAGAATTGACATATCTTAGCTTCTAAACCAAGCTCCTATTTATGTGAGCAATTAACAGATACACATTAGAGAATATATAACAGGGATATTAGACTACTCAACACATGATTATAAGGCCATGAATCAAAGTGGTGAAGCACAGACAGTACTTTTTTGGGATGCACCAGAATTTCATGACAGACTTAAAACAAAAATCCCATATGAAGGTAGAGTATCCACACCTGTAAGGACAGACATCCTTTTATGCTTTCATAGAAACGGAGTAATTACCTTCTTTGAATAATTTCTCTCCAGGCAATTGATTCTGTCACAAATTCTCTGAAGTTATCATTAGTCACAATAACACCTCCAGTTTTATCAGCAAGGTGTAATAAAAACCTGTAAGATTTATTTCAAAGACAGTTAAGAAAATCTGCTTTGCTGAAAACTGTCTACAGATTTCGAAAACTAAACATTTTATCATCCAAGAGCGATTGCCTTGCATGAAAACAAGCACTCTGATTACCAGAAAATGATGCTGCTCTGACCCATCATATAACTATAAGCATTTTAGGTGGCATGCATTTATTTAGTGCAGCAGAGTCTTCATGGGAGGCTTTTTTTTTCTCATGAAAAAAGAAAAAAAAAAAAACAAACCCCAAAAAACAACCACAAGAAAAGCTTCCTCAAATCCATCAGATTCTAAATATTTGTAGAGATAAACGGGTTGCTTTACAAAAGAGTACAGTATTTCTTACACATTCCAACATAAACTTGTTTCCATATACTATTTTGGTCAACATGGATATCCATTTTCTGCATGTCAGTTGTTTGCTCTGTCAACACTTGTTAACAAAGAGTGTGGTTACTACTTTGTTGTTAAATTGTGACAAAAGGAAACTACAGATTTATTGAGATTTATTTTTTTTTTTTACCCATCTGAAAACAAGCTTTTTGCCATTGAAACTATTTAGCAAAGAGATGGTGTCCTTTAAAGAAAAGTGTACACTTTTGTGCAAATATGTTAGCACAGCACTCATTTCTACTGCACCTAAATAGCATTTCTATATGAAATGCTGGGTGCATATAAAGCATGAGTGTGGAAACAACTCCAGTTTGGCTGCCTTGTACTTTTTTTTTTTTTTTGCCATAACATTATTATTTAAGAGATCACAGTTACCATATTTTAACAAGGATGATATATAGAGTGCACTTATCTTTTTTCATATTAAGTTTTGCAATCAGGTGCATGACTGCACAATCTAACAAAACTAGCCATGCCCATGATACAAAAACATTACAATTTTATAGCCAGAAAAATAACGTATGAATGATTACTTGTAGGAATAAACTTAAGCAGCATGTGCTTTCAGCCATACCTGAAGACTGGGAAAATCTGGCAAGAAGAAGCCCCTGAATCTTACTGTACTGAAAGATGATCCCCACATTTTGAAGCTGAACTTAGGTGTTCAAGTTAACTTGGAAATTTAGTAGCCTACACATTGTTACAAATATAGTGCTCAAGTACACACCAATATCTCTATGCCACAATGGCATCAAGAAAGAAAATGGAACAAAACTGCACCTTATTAGTAGCTCACTTATGCTAGTGTTCTCCAAACATAAAAGTCAATTCCAACAGACTGATAAGGAATGCAGAAGAACATTACTATAAGACTTAATTTCTTATGCAATGCAAATGGCGAGGTTTGAAATGGATCTTTGGGTCTTTGTTTGGTTTTTTTTTTAATGGTTAAAATTGCCACGAAAATGTGCCATTTTCCACTAATTTCTGTGTACATTATTTATCTCTGTGTACATATATATATTTATTTTCTGTGTACATATATTTAAATACACGGATGTTTCATTGGACAGTAAAATAACATAAATGTAGACGTTAGTCTTAAGTTGGAAGCATAGCTCTCTGTCTAGATAGGTTGAAGAATTAACTAATACAACCACTCATGAAGTATGAGGTTTTTATACCCGTTAGACAGATGTTTAAAAAGACTGTATATATTCTATACCTGTCATCATGAGCAGCAATTCTTGCTCCTAAAACCACCCTTGCAGGGGTTAAAGATAATATTCCAACATCCTGGAGCTCTGTTAAGAAATCCTGCTCTGTTAAAACATGAAAAAACTTTTCTTAAAAACAAGAGTCTTCTTTGAGGCTATTTATTCAACAATTTGTGTGAGGTGGGTAAGTGAAGATAGGTTATTTTTGTATCTGTTAACAGAAATAACATTCATAAATGAACATTGCTAATATGAAAATCATCAAATCATAGAATAGTTAGGGTTGGGAAGGACCATAAGATCATCTAGTGCCAAGCCCCCTGCCATGAGCAGGGACACCTCACACTAAACCATGTCACCCAAGGCTTCATCCAACCTGGCCTTGAACACTGCCAGGGATGGAGCATTCACAACTTCCCTGGGCAACCCATTCCAGTGCCTCACCATCCTAACAATAAAGAACTGCCTCCTTATATCCAATCTAAACTTCCCCTGTTTAAGTTTGAACCCATTACCCCTTGTCCTATCACCACAGTCTCTAATGAAGAGTCCCTCCCCAGCATCCCTATAGCCCCCCCTTCAGATACTGGAAGGCTGCTATAAGGTCTCCACGCAGCCTTCTCTTCTCCAGCCCCAACTTTCTCAGCCTATCTTCATACAGGAGATGCTCCAGTCCCCTGATCATCCCCGTGGCCCTCCTCTGGTCTTGTTCCAAGAGTTCCATGTCCTTTTTATGTTGAGGACACCAGATCTGCGCACGATACTCTAAGTGAGGTCTCGCAAGAGCAGAGTAGAGCGGCAGTAAAACTGGGAGGAAGAGGCTGAAACTAGAAACTAAAGAGCATTCAAGACCCAAAACAAACAAAAAGGCCTTCACTGATTGCACATCAGTTATCCTAAACAGCATTTCAGAGAGTGTCTCATACTGTATATAGAAACCCAGCTACTGATGCTGAGCAGCCAGACTGACATGCTGTGGTATGGAATACCCCTTTGGTTAGTTTGGGTAAGGTGTCCTGTCTCTGCTTCCTCTCCTCCCTAGCTAAGCACGAGACTGAAAAGGTACTTGGTCAACGTAAGCGTTACTTAGCCATAACTAAAAACATTGGTGTTATCAGTGTTGTTCCCAGGCTGAAAGTCAAAAACACTGCACCAGCTACTAGGAAGGAGAAAAATGACTGCTACTGCTGAACCCAGGACAGTAATTTAATAAAGAAAACATTAGGAAACTATTTCCCTCACCTGTAATGTTAGGATCACGTCTTGTTCTCCATTGCGGAACAAACACAGTAATATTTCTGTGGCCACGTTTCCAAAAGTAGTCAACAGCTATTGCGATTCCTCGACAGGAGAAGAATTTCCTTAGCCCATGACTGGGGGTGAAAGAAAGAGAGGAGATATGAAATTCACTAGTTTTACTACCATAAACGCAAAGAGAAAGGAACTAAACCTTGCCAAGTGAAGCTGCCAGTTACACATGTGGCCTTACCAGACAAAAAAAAAAACAAACAAAAAACAAAAAAAAACCCAGTAGATTGATGCTACAGATGAAGAATCTTATAAATGGAAAGAGATTTTCAGCAAAAGAAGAGAACAGAAACATCACAATTCCTTAGCCCAGTCTCAGTTTCACAGTCACAACAATATTTGACTAAGCAGCAGTCGGTTTATCTTTAAAAAAATCATCTAGGAATTTCAAGGTGTTAGCTGGTAGTGAAACTAGAAGCATACATCCATTCAGAGCAGCCCTGCAGAGAAGGACTTGGGGGTGTTGGTCAATGAGAAAATGAACATGAGCCAGCTTCAGTGTGCGCTCACAGCCCAGAAAGCCAACTGTATCCTGGGCTGCATCAAAAGGAGCGTGACCAGCAGGTCAAAGGAGGTGATCCTGTCCATCTACTCTCTCTTGTGAGACTTCGCTTACAGTATTGTGTGCAGTTTTGGTGTCCTCAGCATAAAAAGGACATGGAACTCTTGGAACAAGTCCAGAGGAGGGCCATGAGGATGACTGGGGGACTGGAGCACCTCCTGTATGAAGACAGGCTGAGGAAGTTGGGGCTGTTCAGCCTGGAGAAGAGAAGGCTGCATTGAGACCTCATAGCAGCCTTCCAGTATCTGAAGGGGGCCTACAAGGATGCTGGGGAAGGACTCTTCATTAGGGACTGTAGTGATAGGACAAAGAGTAACGGGTTCAAACTTAAACAGGGAAGTTTAGATTGGATATAAGGAAGAAGTTCTTTACTGTAAGGGTGGTGAGGCACTGGAATGGGCTGCCCAGGGAGGTTGTGAATGCTCCATCCCTGGCAGTGTTCAAGACCAGGTTGGACGAGGCCTTGGGTGATATGGTTTAGTGTGAGGTGTCCCTGCCCCTGGCAGGGGCTTGGACTAGATGACCTTAAGGTCCTTTCCAACCCTAACTATTCTATGATTCTATGATTTTCCTCCCCATTAACACAACTGTGTACATGCATGTATGGATCTGTGTTTACGTAGTTACTTCTGGGAAACTGTACCAGCTGTCAACTGTCTGAAACATTAAATTCGTTCTAGATCTGGCTTCAACACTGTTTTGTTATAGTATGTAACACTACACTTCCTCCCCCCCCCCCCCCGCCCCCCATGGAGATGTTTATTTTGTTCTCCTAAACAAGATTTAAGCCTGTTCTTTAGGAAGCATCTTTAATCTAACAGCACAAAGTAGATGACATATGAGACATGTATCTTAAGCAGTCATACAGGTTTGGCTCAGCCAAAGAGCATCTGACAGAATTCATGGGATCATTGGCAGTAGAAATTATCCTATTCAAGAGTTAGTTCCACCTAAATAGGAAGTTAATACAGCCAATACAAAGCTTTTCAGGACTTCCAAACTCCAAGATTAAAGACTGTATTTTAAAATAGTTAAATGTTTAGGAAACAGTCTAATCTTTTCCCACTTTGTCCGGGGATACAGGTGACCTCTCAGAATTACTATTTTGCTTAAAGTACTCTATTTTGTTCTGGCAGCATGGTTTCAAAATGAAAACTAACACAGGTTTATGCATGTTCAGCAGTGGAACCCAGAATGCACTGAAGAAATCTTATATAGCAAGTTCTCACAGTAAGTTTACTCATTAGTATTGACAAGTGGAGCAGACAGTCTGTTTAAAAATTACCACTTCCTCATTAAGAAGTACGGTACTTGTCATTGCTCACTCTCATATTCCAAAGCTACAGAAAAGCCCCATAGCAAGCACTGAATAGACCTTTTGACCTGAGTGTTTGCCAAAATTACTTAGCATAAAAAGAACAAATCCACATCTCTTCCTGACTAAAGAACAACAAACAATTCAAGGACAGTTTTGATGAGATAAATGTCAAATAAACCAAGCAATGCACAAATGTTTCAAATTAACTGAGTTTTGATATTCCAGTTAGTCATAACTTGAAAAAAGATAAAATTGTAACTTGCAACACTTTCCAAAGTTGTCTGCAGTAGAAGCATGAAAAGAGAAAAAGGAATTAGAAGGCATTTACAATAATGGAAAATCCTTGCATCATGGTCAATGCAGTGAACTTTTCAAAGTAAATGATCTTTTTAGTATTAAGTGTACCCACTTTATAGAGTTTGTTTGCATGGTGCTTTGTCAGCCAATCTGTTACAATTATACAACAGCTCTACTCTCTTTTGCATACATTCTTTCAGGTGATGAATAGGCAATGAGGCGTGTGCACACATACACAGGGTTCCCTATTCTGCAAGTTTTATTGAGGGGGATGGAATATTTTTGTTGCATGCCTACATTTGTAAAAAGTAAACAGGACCCAAGCACTAAGGTGTAATGTTGTTAAAGGAAAAATACATTACTACTATAAGAATCTCCACTTCAAAATTACAAGATGCTAAGAGCAGAAGTAAAAAAACAGAACACTTACACTGATGGTAACTCAACTTCTTTGTTAGATGCATGAAAAGCAAATTAAGTTTGATGCACAAAATTGCTTGCAACAGAGCAGAGCTCACTGAAATTAAATTCCTACTGAAGTGTCCATGGAGCTCAAGCACTAATAGTTCAAATCAGGTTGCTTTGAAGTGGCACAAATCAGGCTTCAAATTTGACCATTGCCTAGTAAGCAAGGCTGTAGAATTAATTTACTTTTCATTTGGAAACATATTGTTATCAAATAGGATCTTGCCTACCTCCAAAGCATATCTAGTTTTAATTTTCTTTGTCCATTCCATTTTTTCAGATTACTTTAGTATTTGGGTTTAATAAATCTGAGCTACTCGTTTTTTATAAATTTGCAATTTTTTGTTAGAACAGGAAAGCTAAGCCTAAAAGGCTTTACAGAAAATATTTTCCAGTGTATTGCAATTACCAACCAATTTTTAAGTCAAAATCAAGGACCTATTTTAACCAGTTATTGTATTTGTTCATCTCCAGACTACGTATTCTTTTTTAAGTCAAAAGTAAATTCTACAAGAATTGTTTCATATTAGAATATCCTGCAATGGCACTGGTCTAGCTGGTTTTGTGCACTGAAGTGGACCGGCTAAAAGAACTCTGGATTTCCATCTGTTCACAGTACCTCAACAAGGAATAACTCCAAATAAGTCAGTTATAAAAACTGACACTATCACAAAAAGAGAGTAAAAACTATTAAAATTGCTATGTGCTGGAAATTAAAATGGCTACAGCATGCTCATGTAATTTTTCATTATCAAGCCTTACTGTAACTTACCATTGCAGCCATTCCCAGTAGCTGAAAACCTTGCTGTGAACATGGGCTTTTGGTCACCTAAAAGCTAGCTAGCAAAAGGTTTACATATGCCACAGCATCCTCAGTTTCCGTTTCATTTGAAAGCTCATTGAAATTTTAATAGAGATAGCTGAAGAGAACAATACTTACGTGATTGCAACATTGCTTCCATCAATAATGATGTGTTTTAAATATGGTTTCCCAGGTTCATTTTTCAATTCCAGTCTGTATGGCTTTTTCAGAGAATCCAAAAATCTCTGAACTCCAGTAACAGAAGGATCAGGATGATGTCTTTGTGGTCCCACTGTCTTTTTATCAGGATTTGAGGGCTGCATTTGTGAAGACAATACCTGGTTTGAGACAGGATTTTCTGAGTTTGAGGTTTGGGAACGGCGTTGGTTAGGAGATCTCCCTTGAGAAGAGCTGCAGTGTCCTAATTGGTCCTCAGAACCAGGATGACTATTCTGTACAGTTGAGGGCCCTGCAGTGCTTTGCTGAACTGCAGTTTTAGTCTTAGTCAAGGTACACTGCACATCTGAGCTCCCTCTGGCTACAAAATCAACATCTTTTAGAGCTCCAGCTTGTATAGTCCCAAAAGTTACACCACCATCAGTATCTCTATCACTTGATCTCAAACTGTAATTCTTACCCTGGCAATAAATGTCTCGTTTTTTATAGCACATAGCTGAATTTTTACTGGAAGGAGAAACAGGTTTACCTACCAACGTATGCATTTCATTTTCTGCATCAGCTTGCATGCTTGGTGGATTTCTCATTTTGTGATACTCACTTTTTGTCCCCCTTGAAGTATGACTGGATTTAAGCGGACTTTTATTGCTTTTGTCTACTAGCTTTTGTGAGTTATTTGCATTACTTCCTAAAGAGGGATTGTCAGTTTTAGGCATTGGAGATGACTGCCCATGCTCTTTTTGAGATTTCGCATTTTCCTTTTCAATTTCTTCTAACAGTGTTAATGGTTCCACAGATTGCCCTAGGATACCAATGACTTTTTCTACAATATTTTGGCGATATCCCATTGTTCTGAAAAAGTTCACAAGAATTCTATATTCCATTTCCTCACTGATTTCATCACCTACTTTAATGTGATAACTGGAATCATTTGATCTCCTTTCATTGCAGCTATCTGAAAGCAGATCAATAATTGATTCACTATCTGAATGATTACTGTGTGAAAATATGACTTCCTGATCATTTTCTGAAGAGAACTGCTTTTTAGGAAGCCTTTCCTCATCATAAGAGGATCTTCTTTTACATGACTGCCTTTCTTTAGGCACTACTGTCTGTAACACAGGCACATTTATGGGAACAAAACTTGTTCCAGGAGCATCAGAAAACACAACGTCCATTTGCTTTGTAAGTTCAGTTACAGGTGTTCCAGCATTGTTTCTTTCTTCCTCACCACCTTCTCTTCCATCTCTGTTTGTAGCTATTACTTTGGGGGCTTCGTTATGTAAAAGCTCTGTTGGGCTTTCAGAACCTGTCAGATCTATGATACTGCTCTGCACTTTACAGCATTCAGCTTGTGTGAGAGCTAGGAGCTCTCTTTTTAGTGAGCTGGGCAAAATCAGTAAATCCATTGTGTATTTATCTGCATGTGCTTCCACAAATTGTCTGAATTGCTTCTTAATCTCCGACTCATTGTCACTTAATAAGCTTTCATTACTCTCAAAAAGGTTCACAAACTGCTGAATATGACTCTGAGCCATAACAACAGCTTCTGCACCCCCTTTAATACCGAGCAATCCTATTTCCAGCACTGATATATCAGCACAGGTATCCTGAATAAGACTGTTGAGAAACAGGCTTTGTGCACCAACAAAGATGCAGTGCATGTCCTTTGGGTAGTACTCTTTTTCTTCTAGTTCAGGTTCGCAGAGTCCCTTAATATACTCCTAGAAGGACGAAAAGACAGCAGAGTGAATATTTGTGACAAGCTGGTATATCAAGTTAGTTTTGGTTATGTCAGAAATGGATGAGTACATTAGAAAATAGTCAACTTGGCACAAGAAACTTGAGAAAGTAAATACTGCCAGTAAACCAGATAATGGAGAGAAAAGATACCTGAAATGATTTTTAAATAATTTATATATATAGAGAGAAGTCTAACTTAAATATCCTAGTGTTTATAAGTTTACTTGAAACTGACAGTAAAAGAATATTTAAGTTGAAGCTCAAACAGTTTAAAAGACAAGTCAAAAGAGATTTATTTTCCCAGCCCCATTCTTTGGTCAGAGGACATATGCATCATGAACAAATGCCTCACACTAAAGAATTCTACCTCGTCTGCAAAAGTGAACTTCTAATAAGACTTTCTAAAGGTAAACTTCCAAAGGCTCATCAGAGCAGTAGCCATCCTACATTTTTTAGTTGTTATTATGTGTTACTTATTACTCAATCAAGGACATTGATCCTGCGGCATGGCACAACATAACTAGTAGCCACAGTAGGATCCATTAAAAATACCTTACAGGGAAGAAAAAAATAAAAAACTCTTACCCCAAACAAATGACAAAACCACTGTCTGGACTGTGATAGATTCCTTAATTAACCCAATAAAATATTTGGATTTTAAAACTACAACTGCCAGACTACCTACTTACAATGGGCATATAACACGGGGGGAAGGGGAGGGGGAAATCATCACACCCCAAAAGCTCCACAGCAAGCTGAGGCTTTGAAACTCAGTATTTTGAAAAAGCAGATATTGACAAATGAGAAAACTCCAGGCTCCAGATGGGTTTGTGCCCCAGAAGTTCAGGTTTTTAATAGATTAAAAACCAAAGAAAAAAAAAACCAAACAAAACCCAAATCAAAAACCAAACCAAAATCAAACAAACAAAACTCAAACAAAAATCCCACTGTTATTTCTGTCACCTAAAAGTTACCACCAGAAAATTCACTGTGCTGCCTTATTTTAAATGTGTCAGAGTTGAGAACTCTGTCAATACAGTGCACTGTTTATTCTTCCAGGTAGCATTATTTTTTCCCCTATCTCTTTCTGTGCTTTAACCTCTTATGCAGTAAAACTAGTTTCTAAGCTGTAGTCATTGTTTTGCAGACTCCCAAGTATACCAAATTTTATTCTCTGCCTTAACTCTTGGATACCAAAAGTTCTCCTGTGAATGGAACTGAAAACAAACAAATACAAGGTAATGAATAACATAAGACCACTTTGTATCATCTCTTGAGTTACATCATCTTGATTATCAGGGCAAAGTACTCCAAGGCCATATTAGCACAACCTGTTTCTACAACAAAATCCATAGGATTACTTTTTGTGCTTTAGTCATCATACGACATTTTAGCAGATCAACAAGATAATATAATTAGAAAAAAGGATATACTAAATCTGGGAACTTCCCCCACCAGGCAGCACTGAAGAATGAATACACTTCCTGCAAGTGATGAATTACAACAAATTGCTATCACAAAACCTTTTGAAGGGAGACAATGAAGATGTGCAATTGTTGAAGATGTGCAATTGTCTGGTCAATAACCCCTCCAGGTAGGGTCTGAAAATTGCTCTACATGTAAGGGAAGTCACGTCTCCCACACCCTTCAAAGCATTTGGAGTAGAAAACATTTTTTATGTTATTAGGAAAATCAGCAATTAGAAAATGGAATTCTTGTGATATTTGTTTCAGGCTTCAATTTTCTGGAGAAAAAAAAAAAAGAGAAAAGTTGTACTGCAGCTGCCTGGAGAAAAATGAATAGCTGTTTATGCTACCTGTAACAGTTTCTGGAGTTTCTTAAGCCCGAGTATGCAAGCAAATTGTGTTAAGAGTAAATTTCAGAATCAAATAACTCAAGACCCTAAATATTCATAGTATTTTCCTTGCATTACACAGTTGAGGAATCAAGTTTTTGAAAGCGGACTGGTCAGTCCATGAATTAAGTCACAAAACACATGCTAAGGATCCCCACTAGCATGTGTCTGTTCTTAAACAGATACAAAAGTCTGCATATTGAGATTTGGGGTTTGAAAGCTACCTCCAGCCTTGCCAGTGCTCACACCATCCTTCTCATCATACAATTCAAACAGGCATAGTTATCAAGTCCACTATAAGTGATATTAACTTCATCGTTACTGCTAAGCCTCCCCCAAAAGGTTTGTTGTACAAGAGATTCACCAAACTAACTCTCTGACTTCTAAAGTGAAGATACTTTACAGCAATTAGTGTCAGTCAGAGACTCGCAGAGCCTAGACCGCTCTCCCTTTTAACGTCTTTGGTTAAAAAGAAAGCTCTCTGCTCCAGGAAACAGACTGATGAAGCAAGAAACTCCTACACTTTCCTACTAGGAAAGACCAGCCGGGCTAAACTGATAGCGAGCGCATTAAGTAGGTAAAAAGTTACTAACTGCCACAAAGTTACGTTTGAAACGCAACTGTGAAACGCGGTAACACCTAACCGAGAGTATTTACTCGACTTTGGGAAGGACAGGGATACATTTTAACCGCGTTTCAGAACACAACTTAGCCCACTCCCGCACGTGTTTAACCCCCTCTCGCAGAGGTATTTCACGACGCGGTGGCCGGGCCACACCGATGAACTTCCCACTTCTCAGCTGAACTGTTTCTCTCTATTCTCCGAGCTTGTGTCAACACCACCGGAGACACCCCGGCACCCGCGACACGCCTGTTTCCAGGGCAGGGCTCTGTTTCACCGTGAAGCACCGATTTCTCCCTCTCGGCCCCGTACACAGCAGCCCGAGCCGTGCCCTTGCTGGGAGGGGCGCTATCGTATGCAAACACGGCCCCGCTCCCTGGCCCGGGTGACAGAGGCCCTGCGGCTGCTGCCCGCGGCGCTTCCCACCAGTCCCCCGTACCTTGGCGGCGCGCACGGCCTTCCAGCCGCCCGCCAGCTGCACCCAGATGCGTCGGTCTCCCTGCGCCCCGAGCACGGCCAACTGCACCTCGAACAAGCACTCGATGCGGCCCCGGCTGCCCTCCAAGAGACAGCTTTTCTCCGCAGGGACAGTGAACTCGTCCAGCCACGGCTCTGAGCCGCGGGCTACCCACTGAGCTGCCATCACCACTGCCCTCTCAGACCTAGCATAGCGCTGAGACCCCCGACGCCAACACGGGGAATCCCCGGACTCCCTCAGTGTACGTCATCCGATCGCGTCCGGAAGCGGACTGAAGCTTTCTACAGCCGGGGAGCCATCTTTAGTCAGGGCGGACACAGCGCTCCGCCCTCTTGGGGGCTGCGCCAGGGTAAGACGAACCCTCCCACACAGCCGCTCGCCGCTCGCTAGTCCCGCGGAGGGGGTGGGGGGTGTTTGCCGTCGTGGCCCAGGTGCCTTGAGAGGACGACTTGAGTTGCCCATAGCGCCAGGCGCGATCCCCTCAGCGGCTCTTACCATCGCCGCAGGAAAGAGCCTGTCCTCTCACACGATCCCACAGCCTACGAGGTCTGTTTTAAAGGTACTTCAGTACAGCCATGTCCGGGTATAGCTGCCTCGGATTTCGTTTTTAAAAAAATGTGCAGTTTATCCCTCGTGGTAGCAGGGCATAGAAGTGTGCCTCCATCCCCAAATCCTTAGTTCTGATAGCTTGGAAAATGAAGAGGAAACTTTTTTTCACTAAAAAACAATCAAAGAAAAGTCTTAAAATGAGACGGTAAGGACCAGATTAGTTCTTCAAAAGTAGCTCTGGGACTTCACTAGACTTCTGAATGCCTGAAGTTTGCCTGGAGTTGGCAATACAGACCAACTGTTACACAAAGGAGTCAATGTCTTAGTTTCTTTTATCTCTTCCAATCCCGTACCCAGGTAAACACCTTCCAAGTTCCCTCTAGGCTATTGGATTCACACTTGTTTTGTTCATCTCTTTAGCATCACTGTGAAGTTAGTTTTCAGTAGCTGTTCTTTAAATACAGTGTCCTAAGGGAGGACAAGTATTTTATGGTGGTGCAAATAAATACACATATCTTATACATATCTTGATTTAATCTACTTATATGTTACACCAGTAAAGGATTAATAAAAATCTGTAAATTATCATTTTTATAAAGGCACTTGTATCTCTGTTTAGAAACTTTTTAGCCAGATGAGTGTTTGCAGTTCATAGAATGGTTTGGGTTGGAAAGGACCTTAAGGTCATCCAGTTCCAACCCCTGCCATGGGGAGGGACATTTCACCCTAGACCATGTTGCTCAAGGCTCTGTCCAACCTGGCCTTGAACACTGTCAGGGATGAGCATTTACCACTTCTTTGGGCAATCTGTTCCAGTGCTTCACAGTAAACAGCTTCTTCCTTATATCTAACATGAACTTCCCCTGGGGGATGGGTTTAAGTCTGAACCCATCACCCCTTGTCCTATTGCTACAGCCCCTGATTGTTGTGGTTTAAACCCAGCTAGTAACTCAGAACCACAGAGCTGCTCACTCCCCTTTTCATCCACCCCTGCTACAACAGGATGAGAAGGAGAATTGTAAACCCCATGGGTTGAGAAAAGAACAGTCAGATAACTAAAACAATACAAGACTACTACAACTACCACTAATAATAATAATAAGGGAAATAACAAGGGGAGAGAATATAAAGCTAAAAAGGGAAGGAGAAAAAAAAAACAACAGGCGCAAGTGATACACAGTACAGTTGCTCACTACCTGCTGATCTATTCCCAGCCTGACCTGAGCAGCAATCTGGGCTTTCTAGGTGACTCCCGCCAGTTTACATACTGGACATGATGTGCTGTGGTGTGGAATACCCCTTTGGCTAGTTTGGGTCAGGTGTCTTAACTTGTGCCCCTCCTCACTGGAGGAGCACTTGAGAATGAAGTCCTTGACCAGGATAAGCATTACTTGGCAACAACTAAAACTAGTGGTGTACTATCAGCATTGCTCTCAGACTAAAGTCAAAAACACAGCATTACATCAGCTACTAGGAAGGAGAAAAGTAGCTATTACAGCTGAACCTGGGACACTGATGAAAAATCCCTCTCCAGCATCCTTGTAGGCTCCCTTCAGATACTGAAAAACTGCTGTGAGGTCTCCATGCAGCCTTCCCTTCTCCAGTCTGAACAGCCCCAGCCTTCTCAGTCTGTATTCGTGTGGGAAGTGCTCCAGCCCCCTTATCTAGACAGTTACATGTTCTAAACAGGGTAGAATTTGACAGTGAGTGTCACATTCCAGAGACAGATGCTGTACTTTCCTGAGGATAATTTTTACCTAGTTTTGTCTAGTAGACGTTTACATTTTCCCTTCCGATCAAATTATTCTACAACATTCACATATAAGAATTTAACTGACTTTTGTCTAGGCAATTTCTTGAGGTGATTGGTGCCACCAGCTGTTAAAATATAGTCACTGCAGCCATTATAGTCAATTACAAATGAAATCGTAAGCAAGGAGCTTTATAGTAGAAATGGACTTAACAGCATTATGGGATACAACGTATTACTAAAGCGCTGAAAGAAAATGCTTTTATTTCTGTCTACCATTTCAACACAGCCTTTTGGAACATCTCAGGATAACTGAAAGCGGGCTGGTTTCTAAGTAAGGTGGATAATGCTTGGTGCTGTGTGTATTTGCTTGTAGCCTGTTATGCCATACTCTGTGTATGGTCTCAGTGCTGAATTTGTTGTAATCTTTATAATTCTATACGTATTATCTATAAATCTGTTTTCAAAGGTCATTTGCAGCATTATAATATCTGAAACTGCTCTCAGGGAGGCCCTTGTGAGCATGAATGGTTCTGCAAGATTGTGATTCAGTCTGCTAAAGCAGGTTAGGTAGAACCTGACAATGTAACATTTCACACAAACTAAAGCCTTTTTGAAATGAAATTGACAATGTTATTGAAAAGGGTTTACTTATGTTTACAAACATGGGTAGGTTATTAAAACAAGTTGGAACTTTCTTCCTGCATCGTTATAACTTAGACTAGAAAAAAACCACATTTATAGTTGTTTTTGTTTCTTGGTTTGTTTTTATTTTAGTGACCTTTGGATACTGCAGCCTGAACTTAATCTACCCCACACTGAGAACAAATTGCAAGCCTCTTGTTACAAGCCCACATTCAGGTGTACCAAAACTAAATGTGAAGTAGGTTGAGAACACTAGAAATTCTCTTTCATTTTATAATAGGCTGTTTACAAAGAGGATTTTTTCCAGGAAGAAAGACTTCTTCAGCCTACAGGCTTTTCACAGTAAAACATCCATATTTAGCTGGAGGGCAAATTTCATTTTCCTGAATCTTTGGTTGCATTTTGTAAGCTCATTTTAGGGAAAGTACAATATTTAGGTGGTGACAGTCAAAGGAATTGGTTACACCCAATGCCAGCTCTTGCACTGCTACTTGGAACACCAGTGGGATGTTTTACAGGTCACCCTATGTCGGAGAGAGCGACTGGAATCAAGAGAACGACTCAATATGAGTTATGCTTCTTGTTCATTTTATACAAATCCTTAACCCCTTATATACTATTTTTTACATGCACTTACAGTGATTTGGCATATTATGATTGGATACATGTTCTGAAGACCCTTAGTGACTAACATATAATTGGTTAAACACAGGTGTGAGAACTTGACCTCGAAAGCTTGCCAACAGTCCACAGTTCTCATTAACTCGGTGAATTCCAGCCTCTTATCTTGCTTGCCTAAGCTTCTTTGGGCCTCTCATGGCCTTGCTGTATCTTTCAGGATTATTCAGAGTTTATGTATCGATTATGCATTCTCCCATTTCTCCCATGAGAACACTGTCTCCACAACCCTAAACGTAAATAAGTTATTGCCAAATTCATTATCTGTATCACTGTTGGAGAAATATTTTGTTTTCTTTCATGTTTTGAAGTCACTGGCTTCAGTTGCTTTGTACAACTTCCTTCTTTTTATTACATTTTCTGTAATTGAAATTTGGTTATGTAAACGATTTATGAAACTGGGTCTTCCTGAAATGTTTGGGCTTGAGTTGCATGTACTTGAAGCAGTTTCTGTGCTAGTTGAAACAATATGGAAACCAAACCTTAAACTTATTTTTCAGATGAGTGTTGGTTAAATGAGCTATGTAGTCTATGATGATGCACTTTAGAGATGGTGCTCTGATCCTCATTAACAGTATTATGGTCATCAGTGGGGTTATGCACATGAATAACTTTAAATATATATTTTTTTATAGGATGGGGAACTGCCATGGTTTAAGTCCAGCTGGTAACTCAGAACCATGCAGCCACTCGCACACTCCCCACTCTTGCCCCACATATATATAGTTGTGGTCAAAGACTCAATGTCCAGCTGGAGACCAGTAATGGCTGGTGTCCCTCAGGGAGCGGTGTTGGGACTGGTCTTGTTCAACATCTTTGTCAGTGACATGGACAGTGGGATTGAGTGCGCCCTCAGCAAGTTTGCTGATGGCACCAAGCTGTGTGGTTCGGTTGATGGAGGGAAGGAATGCCATCCAGAGGAATGCCAACACGCTTGTGAGGTGGTCTCCATCTCTTGTAACAGTCTCTCAGAGCAGGAGAGAGAGTGTGCAGTTTGGATTGTTGCCTGCTGATGACACCATGGAACTCCTCTGGTCAGTGCTGAGCTCGTCTGGTTTCATCAAAGTTCATTCTCTGTTGGGATGATGGTCAGAAGGAAGTCAGGGCCAGTCACTGGTGACCTGAAGATATCTAGCTGGTGGGCTATAAAAGTGCTACACAGCAGGCAACAGCATACGATTGAGTTCATTGGCTGTTTTCCCCTAAAATCAAATCCCTTTGGGGTATACATCAGACTTGCCTTCTTCCTGCATTACCCACCAAGTGTATCCTGGTCCCTGAGCAAAAGCAATCCCACAAGTAGGTTTGCATTTACCTGAAGCAGGAATAACCCAGACTGTCTTCCCCAGCAAATTTTTCATGTGCACCACAGGAACTTTATCCCCTTCTACAGTATGTAAAAGTTCTGACTGGGCTGGCCAGCCCTGTTGGTAGATCCTCTGGTGTTGACCAACCAGGTGGCCTTTGGTAAGTGTGTATCCCAATGTTCTGAAAGTCCCATCACCCATTGCTCTCAGTGTAGTTTTTAACAGCCCATTGTACCGTTCGATTTTCCCAGAGGCTGGTGCATGGTAGGGGATGTGATATACCCACTCAATGCCATCCATGCTCTTTGGCCCAAGTGCCTATAAGGTTGTTTCGGAAATGAGTCCCGTTGTCTGACTCAGTTCTCTCAGGGGTGCCGGGTCG